TAGTTTGGACCCCGAGTTACATTGCCACATCCTCCAAAGTTATCGTGCATTCGCCACACGGCAAATGAAACGTGTGCGTTTCTGGTCTCCAACGTTCAATCAACGCACTTATCAAACCTGGGACCAACTTGTAATCTCGCACAAATGTTACATACCAAAATCCAGCCTCTTGCAAGTTTTCTTCTATCAATGGGTGTGCCTTGGGCACTTTATGTAGCCGAAGACGAATGACTCGCTGCTCGTCCTCCTACAATTAAATAATGTAAAAAAATTATCACAATCATCATAAAATAATATTCAAATATTTATTAATTATAATTCATTAAACAAATATTTTATTCACCATTATTCCCAAATGACTTGAAATATGTTCATTGTCAAGTCTCAGCAGTGGAATTTGGTCAGCCATTGGAATGAATCTGTAAAAAAAATTAAACAACAATATTTAAAAAATCATTTAATATAATATAATATAATCTAACTAACTAACTAACTATTTTACAACACAACAAAAAAATTTATTATAATAACTTATAATATATTAAAAAAACAAACTAATTAACTATTTTTTACCCTAATTTATAATAATAAACTAATAAACTAATAATTTATAACAATAAACTAATTTAAATAATTATTTTTTATATAACTTAAACTAATAAACTATTTTTTATTATAATAAAACTTAAACTACTAATAAACTAATTAACTAATTTTTTATATAATATAAATTCAACAACCAAAATATAACTTAACTATTTAACTAACTACAAACTAATTAAATACTAGACTAACTAACACACTAATTAATTATTTTTTTAATATATAACCATCAAACAAACTAATTAAATAATTAACTAAAATTTTATTTTAACTTAACCATAAACTAACAAACTAATAATTTAAAATAATAAACTAATTAAAAAAATTAAAAAAATACCTCGATGTTGTGCTCTCCCTTTCTTCTTCTTCCTCTTTTCTCTGCTATATTCTCCTTTGCTATTTTCTCCCTTTCTTTCTCTCTTAATTGTTTCACTCATTAACTCCATTCATCCAATATATAATACAACAACCGGCCAGACTCTGCTTCAATTATAGGTCGCCGAGTCATTCACGTTCACGGGCTGCAATAAGTGCTGCAATAATGCAGCTGAATTCACGCTGCATGGGAGCAGAGGCGCAGCGAGCGACAGCAGAGCGAGTCATTCACCTATCCCATGCCACGTGCATGGCCCATGCAAAGCACCAAAGCAGAGCAGCAGGCGGGCAGAGCTGAATCACGCGAGGAACGTTGGACGTCGGGCGTGCATGGCGACCTATAAGGTCGTTGGGAGTGCATGACGACCTACCATGTCGCCTGGCGTGCATGGCGACCTACCATGTCGCTGGGATGCCCTGGCGACCTACGGCAACACTGTGGAGCAATTAATCTGGGGACTGCATTGTTTCGTGAAATAAAGAATTTGAGAGCATTATCTCGTTGAATTTGCCGGAGCGGTTCTAACATGACACAATAGAAGAGTCTGTAACGAAATAATAGGGAGTCAAAATTTCACATTTCTTTGATTCCTAGGGAAAACTCAATAGCTTTTCGATGACAGTCGATGGTTGTTCCTCACACACATCAATTCTTCTAATTATGAGCTTCTCCAGAACTGATGCATGTTTCAAGAAATAACTAACCATTCCAAACATATTCTCCTTTCCATCCAAGTATTTGATTTCAATCTCCCTGATGTGAAACAACAAACACGAAGGCACTATTGCAGGCAATGGCCAGAAACCTCCCGACTTGCTTGCTTAAATAATGGTACTTGGAGAAGCCTTCAAACCAGATCCGGGCTAATGGTCTTTAGCTTAGGCATGCCACGTAGGAACTCCACAATCGACGTTCCTTCCCAAGCATTGTTATATTTATTACGAAATTCCAGTTCAACAAGGTTGTAAAATGCAAGCATTGGATCAAGAGGTGCCAGTTAAAGCTGTCTACAGAAAACTAAGAACTATTATATAATATTAAAAGAAAAGAGTTCTATGTTCCAGACCATGACTTGTTTAGAACAAAGTACATTAACCGCTCTAGAGCCATCTTCAATGCCTAAATAAAGAGACTGTACATTGCAAACTCCCCGAAGAAGATTTGCTACACGTTCACGATCCTCGTTACCCATTACAGTGATTTGGATATGAGCTCTTTCTAGAGATTTCATTTCACTTAAAGTACATTCTTCAGCCATTCCGTTAGCATGACAAGATTCGGAGCATCAATCTTGATGGCACTGAAAGCTCTGCCAGAATCGGCATACAACATTCCGAAATATAAAACCAGTCTCTTAAGTGAAAGGTTATGGATATTGAGCTCACTATTTCGAAACCGACACATAGTAAAAGCCAAATCTTCTAATACAGGGCAACTGGAAATTAACTTAAAAACCGAATGACCATATAAGAATTTGGAGGATCCAAAATGTAGAGTCTTGAGATTTGGTAAACAAGCATTAGTTGGAACATCATTAACACCTCTGATTTTCAGTTTCAGTTTCACGAGCGACTGGCAAGTAAACAAAAGAGTAGCAGGTAAAGCGGGGGACAGTTTTATTTATCGAAAATATAACGAGTTCCTTAACACCACGCCGCACTGCAGCACATAACCAACCCTTAATGCGTAAATAATCATCGGCCCATCGACGGCCATCCTCCGACCGGTCATAATTAATCCAAAAGTCATTCACCCTAAAGCATTCTAAGGTTACCAGCTTGGGGCTAGATAAAAATCTATCGACAAAATTCAGGAAGTTATCATCTTTAAGCTTAACGCAACTCTTGAAATCAAGGACAGATACTGATGAGACAAAGAGATACCTCTACCTTGGGGAAAGAACGGAGGTTCTAGCTGCATCTTTAGTGGGGAGGAACGACAGAATGAGACAAAGAACATTTTCAGGTGGAGAAAGCTACACCCACAAAACTACAGGCCGATTCGACGGCTGGTGATGGGAATCAGAGGGGTTTTGGCTGATAGTGTCGTGGAAGGAAGGGAGAGGAAGACTTTTGCTCTTTGTTTTGGGTAAACTACGTCTTTCATCACTGAACTTTACTCTCATTTTACTTTTTATTTTTTTAATTTAATTACTAAATTTTATACATTATATTTTTTCACTCTAGAATGACATGGCTTTTTTAATTAATATTTTCCTAAACTTGACATATTTTATTAATATTTTATTATTAATGATATATTTGATTAAAATATAATTTCATATAATATTTAAAATAAAAAAATCTTAAAATACAAACCCTAAACCCCAAATCAAGCCCCCAACAAATCGAAAGAAAGCCCCCAAACCTTCCATCCATCGGTCCTTTTCTTTCCGATCACCCTCCGTCTATCGGTCCTTTTCTTTCCGACCACCCTTCGTTTGTGCCTTTTATGTATTGAATTTTATCTTGCTTTCATTTTGTTGGTTCGTCGCTCTTCTGTTTTTGCTTTAAAAGTTGAACTTCATTCTTTTGTTTCTTCGTAAGTTTTAGAATCTGGTGCAAAAATTTGCAGTCAACAATGAATGCCATTTATTTAAAATTATTTGTCACCTGTGTTTTAAGGGATTTAAGTTTATGAGAATGGATATCTTGTACTTTGTGTTTTTGTCCATCAAAATCAGCAGAAAGATTTTCAATTTAAGCCAATAATCAATCCCTTTCTTGGTGCAGTGAGAAAATAGGTTAAGAAATGTTAGCATGCATATTTTTTTCTTCAAGTGAAGTCTGAGCGTCTATTCAACTCTTGCAATTCTTTGTCCATAGTATTTTGTAAAAGCGTGTGCTCCCATTGTTTTGCTGCTGCTTCATCAATATTTCTGGAATCAACTGTTAAAAATAACTATTATATTCAAGTGGACAGAGTATGGTCGAAAAGGAAAGGGCCGTTTGACGGAGTGTGGTCGGAAAGGAAAGGACCAGTTGACGGAGGGTGGTCGGAAAGAAAAGGGATCATGGTCGAAGGATTTGGGGGCTTTCTTTTAATTTGGGCATTGGTTCGTTGAATTGGGGTTTATGGTTTGTATTTTAAAAAAAATTAATTTTCTTTTTTATTTTAAATATTATATAGAATTGTATATTAATAAAACATGCTGTCATAATAAAATATGTCAAGTCATAGGAAAATATTAATAAAGAAAGACATGTCATTCTAAAGTGATTGAAAATAATTAATGTATAAAGTTTAGTGATTAAATTGAAAAAATTAAAAATGTAGTGATTAAAATGAAAAAAATTAAAAATATAGTGATTGAAATAAGAGAGAAAATAAAATTCAGTTGCGAATGATATAGTTTACCCTTTTGTTTTTTAGAACGGTCGATGAAAGAAAGACTAAATAGTTGGATCCGTCTTTTATTGGGCGGGTCGATCGGATTAATATCGCCCCACAAAGATTTTCTGAAAATACTTTTTAATATATTTTTATTTTATTCCATTTTTAAGCTTAATTTTTTTAAAATAGAATGTAATATTATAAAATAGTATTTATTTATAATTGTTTTAACTATTGACAAGACATTTTACAAACACAGTTGTTGGAATTTAAGATTTCTAGGGAGAACAATACTCTTTTTAATCACTAAAATCGTTAGATGAATTATTTGATGTGGAATTATAAAAGCTAAATTTGGCACACATTAAGTAATGAAAGAAAAAAAAAGTTTTACGTATCTTTCAGTCAAGATCGACAATACTAAATTTGGAACAATACGCTTATGTATCTTCTAACTGTTTGAAACACACTTGAAATACGAGAATGTTCTCGTTTTCTTGTTCTTTTCTTGCATTTATGCCAGGGAAAACATAATCGTTTGCTACTGCAATTTATATCACATTTTGATAAGTATAATTGAAACTGTAAAACAATGACAATAACATCACACAGCATTCGCTACTTGCAACAAAAAAGTGTTATACAAAACCAAACCAATTAAGACAATGAAGTTTCTCTAAAACAATACAAAATAGTAGAGACAAAACGAAATATTAGGGAGTCACGATTTCACATTTCTTTGATTTCTTCGGTAAACTCAATAGTTTTTCGATGATAGTCGATTCCTCTTTCTCCCACGGATCAATAATTGTAAATACAAGCTTCTCCAGAACTGATGCATGTTTCAAGAAATAACTAATCATTTCCAACGTATGCTCGTCTCCGTCAAAGTATATGATTTTAATCTCCTTGATGTGAAATAACAAACACAAAGGCACTGCAGTAGGCAATGACCTGAAACCTTCCGAATTAATTTCCTAAGCATACAAAAGAAAGAAAGGAAAGTTAGTTTGTAACAGAGTTTAGGGTGTACTTGATAGTTGATAGTTGGTAGGTGATACTAAAACGGTTAATAGCAATGAGTATTTACAGTAGGTAATAAAAAAAATCAATTTTGTACACTAAATCTTAAATGATATTTAAAGAAGCCTTCATACCAGACTCAATTTAAGTGTCTTTAGATTAGGCATGCAATGTAGAAACTTCACAATCCACGTCCCTTGATCATCAGTATCGTAATTAAGAAAGTACAGTTCAACAAGGTTTTTAAATGCAAGCATTGGATCAAGAGGTGCCAGAAAAAGCTGTACACGAAAAACCAAGAAGTATTATTTAATGTTAAAAGAAAAGACTTTGATATTCAAGACAATGACCTTAAATATTGCTAAGTTCACTAACCGTACTAGAGTAATCTTCAATGGCTAAAAAAAGAGACTGTACATTGCAAATTCTCTTGAGAAGATATGTTGCACGTTCATAATCCACACTAGCTAATAGAGTGATTGAAATATGAGCACTTTCTAGAGATTTCATGTCACTTAACGTATAGCCTTCAACCATTGCATCAACATATTTGAAATAAACAAGATTTGGGGTATCAATCTCGATGACGTTGAAACCTCTGTGAGACTGAATATACAAGTCACAGAAATCTAAAACCAACCTCTTAAGGGAAAGGTTATGGATATTGAGCTCTCTTATGTTACCAAACTCGCAATAAATAAATTCCAAATTTTCTAGGACATTGCAATTGGAAATTAACCTAAGAACTGAATAACCATCTTGAAACTTGGAGAATGTAAAATGTAGAGTCTTCAGATTTGGCAAACAAGTGTTAGATGGAACCTTCATATTACCTCTGATAATCAATTTCAAAGTCACCAGTGATTGGCAAGTAAACAAAAGAGTTGGTAAAGCGGGAACATCTTCATATATAAATCTAATATCAATTTCCTTGACACCACACCACAGTGTGGCGCATATCCAACCATTAAGGCGTAAATAACCCTCATCCCGTTGAATGTCATCCATCCTCACCCAAAAGTCATTCACCCTAAAACATTCTAAACTTAACTGCTTGTTGATAGAAAAGAATCTATCAACAAAATCCAGAAAGTTGTTATCATTTTCACTAGGTGCTGGGAACTGTGGTAAACAATCATTAAAATAAATGATATCATTTTCACTAGGTACTGAGATATGTGGTAAACAATCATTAAAATCAATGATAGACACTGAGGAAGCATAGAGATACCTCCACCTGAGTGAAATAATTGAGGTCCGAACTACATCTTTAGTCGGAAGGAGCGACAATACACGGCAAAGAATATGATCGGGCAAACTACTTAATCTATCCAAGACGCCAACAGACTGCACTTTCTTGCTCATGAACCCTAAACTAGTAAATGTCAATTCCAGGAGTTTTCGAGGGACTTAAGTGATATGGATGTTGCAATCCGGTTTCAACTGTTCCTCCAACTGAAATCTTTTAGAATTACACTATCTCTGTTTCAAGTTCCAGAATCAGTCTCTAAGATATCTGAAACCATACCTTTCTTCAAGCTGCAGCGGTTTGTCTTCTTCCTTCCCCTTCCCATCTAGTGTTTTACCGACACCAAATCCTTCAGCTCAGCAATTACTCTTTTACTCTTCGTTTATCCCTAAATTAGTACGGACTGGCTTCTTATCTGTGAATCAGGGTTTCCTACGTAATTCTCATACCAATCACCGTCAAAGCAGCAGCTGTATCTCTTCCTCGTTAGGGTTACGGTAACTCTTTTGGGGTCTAATTATTTAGTTCAAATCAGGGTATTGTAGGCCTGGGTTTCAATTTGGTTACAGGCATTCGGGCTACAATTAAGCTTATCAGGCCCAACAAGAGCGTCGTGTTTCCAAAGAATGTAGTAGATGTTCGAATTATGAGCTTTTCCGGAACTAATGCATGATTAGATAAATAATTAATCATTTTAGATATATGTTCGACCTATTTAAAAGTTTTGAGATGAAACAACAAATATGGAGGCATTGTTTTAGGCTTAAAACCTTGTAATAAGGATTGTATATATACTCATTATTCACCCACAATCTACAAAAGAAGGTTCCAAAACAGCACATGATCTACAATCTAAGATCCAATCAAGTAGATAAACTAAGATTCAAGTGGCAAGCATCTCAATGCTCTAAATTAGGCCAAGCCGAAAGGTTTCTCACTGAGCTCCCATATTTTGAGTGCTCTCTCCTCATCACTGTAAAGCCCATTTTCATGGGTACAAAACTAAAAGGCAAACCTGAACCAAAGCAGGGAAAAAGGGGACAGAGAGTGGACAATGGTTGGGTGATGTTTCTTTTAAAAAAAATATCAAATGATTACGAGAAATAACAGGTTTAGAATTTTCTTAAGTTATTGATATTCTTACTTGAATCCGGATCTTTTAAAGGAAACAATATTCTCTTGCGCTACTAAAATCACTTAATGGGTTCGGATTTGAGTGATGTTTGAATTGTAATTCTTCATTTGTATTATATTAGTATCTTTTTGTGTCAAAAATTTGATTATTATTTAAATAAATCATGGTATATAAATTTAAATATTTTACTAAATTATATTTTAGCAAAATTTGTTTTAATTTAATTCATACATGTTATGAACTAGTACCTACGAACGAGTTCAAGAAACATGGCTTTGAGTATTCATTTTGATAAGTATAATTGAAACTGTAAAACAATGACAATAATATCACATAGCATTTGCTACTTACAGAAAAAAGTGTGATGCAAAACCAAACCAATTGAGGCGATGAAGTCTCTCTAAAACAATACAAAACAGAAGAGACAATGAATTATTAGGGAGTGACGATTTCACATTTATTTGATTTCTTCGGTAAACTCGATAGTTTTCCGATGACAGCCGATTCTTCTTTCTCCCACGGATCAAGAGTTTCAATTACAAGCTTCTCCAGAACTGATGCATGTTTCAAGAAATAACTAATCATTTCAAACATATGCTCCTCTCCCTCAAAGTGTTTGATTTCAATCTCCTTGATGTGAAATAATAAACACAAAGGCACTGTTGTAGGCAATGACCTGAACCCTTCTGCGGACGTACTTGACTAAACATACAAAAGAAAGAGATACAAGGAAAGTTAGTTTGTAACAGAGTTTAGGGCGTGTTTAAGTTTTTTGTATTTGTGGATATATTTGATACTAAAATGGTCAATTGCAATGAATGTTCACAGTAATTTTAAAAAATACACAAATTTGTACACTAATCTTAAATGATACTTAGAGAAGCTTTCATACCATATCCAGGGTGAGTGTCTTTAGGTTTGGCATGCAATGTAGATACTCCAAAATCCACGTTCCTTGCCAGTCTTCACTATAGTAATTACGAAATTCCAGTTCAACAAGGCTGTTAAATGCAAGCACTGGATCAAGAGGCGTCAGAAAAAGCTGTACACAAAACAATCAAGAACTATTACAGAATGTTAAAAGAAAAGACTTTGTTATTCAAGACAATGACTTTAATATTGCTAAGTTCACTAACCGTTTTAGAACAGTCTTCAATGGCTAAACAAAGAGACCGTACATTGCTAATTCCCTTGAGAAGACCTGTTGCACGTTCATAATCCACACTGGCTAACAGAGTGATTTCAATATCAGCTCTTTCTAGAGATTTCATGTCACTTAACGTATAGCCTTCAGCCATTGTATCGACATATTTGAAATAAACAAGATTTGGGGTGTCAATCTCGATGACATTGAAACCTCTGTGAGAATGAACATACATCTCACCGAAATCTAAAACCAACCTCTTAAGGTAAAGGTTACGGATATTGAGACTAATGTCATGAAACTCGCAATAAGTAAATTCCAAATTTTCCAAGACATGGCAATTGGAAATTAACCAAAGAACTGAATAACCATCTTGAAATGTGGAGCACCCAAAATGTAGAGTCTTCAGATTTGGCAAACAAGTGTTAGACGGAACCTTCATATTACCGATAATCAATTTCAATGTCACCAGTGACTGGCAATTAAACAGAAGAGTTGGTAAAGTAGGAACATCTTTATAAACAAATCTAATATCTATTTCCTTAACACCGCCATGCAACGCAGCGCATATCCAACCATTAAGGCGTAAATAACCCTCATCCCGTGGAATGTCATCCCTCCTCACCCAAAAGTCATGTACCCTAAAGCATTCTAAACTTAACTGCTTGGGGTTAGAAAAGAATCTGTCAACGAAATTCAGAAAGAAGTTATCATTTTCACTAGGTACTGAGATGTGCGGTAAACAATCATTAAAATCAATGACAGACACTGAGGAAGCATAGAGATACCTCCACCTGAGTGAAATAATTGAGGTTTGAACTACATCTTTGATGGGAAGGAGTGACAAAATACGACAAAGAATATGATCGGGCAAATTACTTATTCTATCCAAGACGCCAACAGACTCTACTTGCTCGCCCATGAATCATAAACTAGGAAATGCCAAAAGAGTTTTGGGGGGACTCAAGGGGTATAAATGTTGCAATCTGATTTCAACAATTCCTCCTACTCAAATCTTTTGGAATTACAACCATCTCTGTTTCAAAGTCCAGAATCAGTCACTAAGATATTTGAAACCGTACCTATCTTCAAGCTGCAGCGATTTGTCTTCTCCCTTCCCCTTTTCTTCAAGTGTTTTTCTGACACCAAATCCTTCAAATCAGCAATTAGTTTCCACTTTAATGCTTAGCTCTTTTACCCTTCGTTTATCCCTAAATTAGTACGGCCACATCCTTCTTTGTGAATCAGGGTTTCCTCCGTAATTCTCATCCCAGTCACCGTCAAGCTGAAGCAGTATCTCTCCCTCGTTAGAGTTTACGTTTGACTCTTTCGGGTCTAATTATTTAGTTCAAATCATGTTATTATAGGCCTAAACGTTTTGGGTTTCAATTCAGTTACAGGTATTCGGGCTAGAATGAGGCTCATCAGACCCAAATAAGAGCGTCATGTTTCCAAAGAATGAAACACAATGAATGAAGTTGATTTGATGCTTGAATTCGGATAGAATAATAATTTTTTATACAATTGAGCCATTCAATATGTTTGAATCAATTTGAAAGAGGTTGAATTGTAATTCTGCATCTGTATTATAGTAATATCTTTTTGTTTCATAATTTTGTTTAATATTTAAATAATTTATGGTATATAGACTTAAATATTTTACTAAATTATAATTTAATTTAATTCATACATGTTTCGAACTTGTACCTAAGAACGACTTCAAGAAACATGACTTTGATTATTCATTTCAATATCTAAAAGAATCTTTTCGAGAAATCGAATGTAAAGCTTTCGAACAAAACTAAATATAAACAATCAATTAACATATAACTTAAAATTAGGCTTAATGTAAAAATTAGTGTTTAAACTATTCACAAAGTTAATTTTAGGTATTTAAAGAATTTTTCGTTAAAAATAGATGACTAACGTTTTCTTCGTTACACTTTTAGATGCTTAACGTTTCAGACATTATGTTTTTAAGTGAAAGAGCTCTAAAGACCGTTAAAAAATTCGTTATTTCACACATGTCATACATATACAATTTTATTTTAAAATTAAAATTTATTAAAAAAAACCTTAGTGTTTTATGAAATTATATAAAAAAACTAAAATCTTAAAAAAATCCTAATTTCAATCCTTCCAACAGTCGTGTAACAACCCGAAAAAAAATATTTAAATCGGTGAAATTTGGTAACTAAATTAAATTTTATGAAAACTTGTAGGTCATTTTAGAAGTAAAGGAAATTTAGGGACAAAGCCTTGAATTTACCCTAAAACTGTCGGCAGCTTTGTATTATAAGCGTGTTTTCTGATTGAAATCAGAAAACACATGCTTATTTTGCTCAAATTTCCTCCTCCCGCACCCCTTCCTTTCAAGCTCGATTCTGACGCCATTCGACATCCAATCGTTAAATTGAAACTACCATCGTGTTCATCCGTGAACAAAACCCAGTAAATCAATTATAGCGAAACGATGTCAAACGACATAAATTTTGGGCCAAAGTATCGACTTTTTTTAGCACCACCACCGAGAAAATCGTAAATTCATCTCCGATCGTTGATCAGTTTTTTACACCTCCCGCACCATCGTGTTCCTTGTGTCGTTCCGAGTCAGCAAGTTAAAGCATAAAATCAACATTCATCAGGTTTGTTACAGCCTATCAAGATTCCTGAATGGAAATGGGAGCGTATTACTATGGATTTTGTTACCGACTTACCTATGGCTCCTTCGAAAAAGGATTCGGTCTGGGTGATTGTTGACAGACTTACAAAGTCAGCTCACTTCATTCCTGTGCGGGTAAATTATACTTTGGACAAGCTGGCGAGATTGTATATTTCGAAGATTGTCAGATTGCATGGTGTTCCATTGTCTATTATTTCTAATCGAGATCCGAGATTTACTTCGATATTTTGGAAGGCGCTACATACGGCTTTGGGAACAAGATTGGATTATAGTACGTCCTTCCACCCACAAACGGATGGTCAATATGATATAGTGATTCAGATTCTGGAGGATATGTTGCAGGGTTGCGTAATTGATTTTCATGGTAACTGGGATAACTTTTTGTCGTTGGCTGAATTTGCTTACAATAACAGTTATCAGACCAGCATTTGTATGGTACCCTACGAAGCACTCTATGGACGTAAATGTCGCACTCCGATATGTTGGACTGAGTTGCGTGACCGGAAGACTTTGGGACTTGAGTTAGTGCGCAAGACGGAGGAAACAGTCAGATTGATCCGTGACCGTCTGAAAGAGGCATTTGATAGGCAAAAATCTTATGCAGATCAGAGGATGAAAGATATACAATTTGAGGTTAGAGATCAGGTCTTTTTAAAAGTATCACCGTGGAAGAAAGTACTGAGATTCGGGCGTAAGGGTAAATTAAGTCCAAGATTTATTGGACCATTTCGTATCTTGAAGAGGGTATGACTTGTTGCATATCAGCTTGAGTTGCCTTCCCAGCTCAATCGTATTCATGTATCAATGTTGAGGAAATACCATCCAGATCCAGGTCACATTATTCAGGTTGAAGAGGTAGAGCTGAGAACTAATTTGTCATATGAGGAGGAGCCCGTTCAGATCTTAAAAAAATGAGAGAGTTCTACGGAATATGCATATTTCAATGGTAAAAGTTCAATGTAGCAAACGAGGCCCATCTGAAGCTACTTGGGAGACATTAGAGTCAATGAAGACTCAGTTTCCTCAACTATTCTCATAAGGTAAATTTCGAGGACAAAATTTCTTATAGAGGGGGGAGAATTGTAACAACACGAAAAAAAATATTTAAATCGGTGTAATTTGGTGAAATTTGGTGACTAAATTAAAATTTATGAAAACTTGTAGGTCATTTTAGAAGTAAAGGAAATTCAGGGATAAAGCCCTGAATTTACCCTAAAAATGTAGACAGCTTTGTATTATAAGCGTGTTTTCTGATTGAAATCAGAAAACACGTGCTTATTTTGCTCAAATTTCCTCCTCTCGCACCCCTTCCTTTCAAGCCCGATTTCGACGTCGTTCGACATCCAATCATCAAATTGAAACCACCATCGTGTTCATCTTCGACCCGTAAACAAAATCCAGTAAATCAATTATAGCGAAACGCTGTCAAACGACGCCAATTATAGCGAAACCACCATTTCATGAATTTTTCGATAACGGATGACGGCTCACACGCCCCTACGCGCCGTCCCTGCGCGTAGGGAATATACGAACTGTTGGGTGATGTTGTTGACCGGCTTGACCGGTCTGACCCGACCCGACCAGTTGACCCGTCCCGCCCCGATGATATTTTGAGAATTATTTTAAAAAATGTGATATTTTAGTAATTATTTTGAAAAAGGTGATATTTTGGTAATCATTTTTAAAAAATGTGTTATTTTCGTAATAGTTGAATGTGGACTTTTGAAAACCTTTGACCATAACTTTGATCGGCTTTAACCGGCCATTAAACGACCTTAGATTTTGTTCGAGTATACATATTTTGATATTTTTCAACGTGTCGAATCTGTTTTCGAAGTCCGTTTTGCCAAATTCGAACCCAAAGGCCTCCAAATCATCAGTCAAACCCGTTGACTTTGATTTTGACCAAGAATTTGAATTTTCGAAAGGTCATACTTTATGTTTTTCGACGTCCTGATTCCGATTCCGCAATCCGTTTGATCAAATTCGAACTCGAAAGCCTTCAAATTGATAGTCAAACCCAAAAAATGCTTATGTACTTAAGAATTTTAGCTTTGAATAATGGAGTAAGACTTGAGACTGATAAATTATTAATGTTTGAAGGTACAAGAGACTCTCCTGACCGTTCGACAGCTCGACCCAGCTCCTCTAGATCAGTTAAACCACGTGTGTCAGTATTCACCCGTAAGACCCGTAAATTTTATGATTTAAGAAATTAATTATGTTATCCATTAGTAATATAGTGTTATTATGAATTAGGTTTGAAAATTGTAGCAGAGCGTGGCGAGACCAACAATCAGTAGATCTACTATTTGAACCTATTATCGAGGTGTGTTCCCTATTTATTACTGAACTGTTTTATTTGTTTTAATATGTGGTACACTGAATTCTATGGTTATTGTTTTATTGATGCACCGATTTAATGTGATGGTTTATGGATTATGACTGCTATCTGATTTTTGTTTTGAAATGGTATATGATTACCATGTTATGGATTTATGGAATTTACGTCATGGTGCAATTGAATTTTTGGAACATGAATTTATAAAGTACAACTCTAAGCAAGCAGAAAAATTTTACGGACCTAATGTGACTCTTAGGTAGGCTCTGCGGCCCTGAGATCATTCTCGGGTAGGCCCTGCGGCCCTAAGATATGTTCTTTAGTAGGCTCCACGACCCCAAAATCTATCTTGGATAGGCTCTCAGGCCCTAAGAGGTTCCTTTAGGGTAACTCTTTTATGAGATTTACTGTAGTATAATTTTATGAGATTTACTGGACTATGATTTGTTTAGTGTACCTATCATGATTTTATAGTAATGTTGGGACACACTGAGCCTATCTCACATTTCGAAAATGATTTCCCCTTTCAGATATTGTTGGTTAGATACCCTTGATCGAGCACTTGGAGAATCAACATATCTCTTGAAGTATATCTTATTGTAATGTTTTATCTTTCGAGTTGACTCTATTTTGATAACATGAGCCTTATTTTAAAGTATTGGATTTTATAATGTTTACTCTTTTGCTATTTATGTTTGGTTTATCGTAATTGGGATTTTTTTTAAATATGTTTTAAAAATTAAATTTTTAACTATTTAGTTTTATATTCATGAGTTAGGTTTATCGTAATATATTATATCCTTTTATAAATTTATTTATAATGTGATTTTATAATTGATCGAATAAGAGTTTCGGAAAAATGTCTTTAAGAATCATGAATGTGATCCACTAGACTTAGTTGAAACGCTTAGGCTGGGTCTAGGGGGTTACATTTAATTAGTATCAGAGCTTTTGGTTTTTAAACCTTGGACTGTGTATGAGTCCAAATTGAAAATACGGTTTTGAAATATTTTACAAAACAAGTTGATAAGGCCATGTCTCAAAGTTTTTACGATTTTAATTGTGATCGAGACTCCAAGTGCTTATTTAACCCTAAGTTTTATCTTCTGTAGTAAATTATAGATCTACAAAAATGAGTGCTAGACGTGGACGTCGAACTAGCCGATGACGAGGTCGAGTGGTTAGATTTGCAGACCCGATCGACGAGATTCAAGTAGATCCCCAACTCCGACAGGTGATCCTACTCCTGGGACCACGAAAAATTTACTTCTTGCCGCTGGTATTGGCATGACT